CTACTAAAAATGCATTGAAAAGATTGCACCAACTTTTAAGAAATTGCAATCTATATAATCATATTTCAAATAACAGTGAACCAAATAGCCCCTTGAAACATAATTATCAAGAGACCAAAAGCCTACAAAACTACTCAAGACACAAGCCATATGACAATATATTATTCCTTTATCCAAGGATAATAATAAATGTTGCACCCATGTGATGGAAAATAAAAACATGGATCATGTTACTAACAATTAATTTTAATCGAAAAACTAATGCAAAAAGCCAATCTTTATTTGCCTTAAATAAGATTTAACTTTCCTTGAAGCTCCAGAAGGTATAAAGAACATGGAATTCCATAATCATGAAAAGAAATGTCGCATATAAATTTAACAAATAATCACACACAACTCAATTATCTGAAAAACATTGATAAAATTACTTATTAGGGCTCCTTTGCTCGCTAAAAGTTAGAAATCATGTTTCGGAAAATGACAATATTTGTTAAATCCGCTATTTGTTGGGATGTTATTTGGCATCAACTATGGTTTCAAATGTCACAACATTTCTCAAAAGTCACTCTGAAGTGATGACTTCGGAACCGTTGGATCACTTTCCTTTTTTTAATTTGTTTTTTAGTTTATTTTATTTTTATTTTAACATAAAACAAAAACATGTTTGGTAACACTTATGATTTTTCTATTTTTAAATATAAAAAATAAAAACAAGAAAATATAATTGTATCCACCACCTCCTCCTCTTCCCCAGTCATTGCTCTGGCGACTTCCTTGTCGTACCGCCGACATGCCCCCAATTACTTTTATTAATCTTTTTTTACATTTTTATTTGAAAAGATTTACATTCTTAACATTGTCATTGCCCGTTACAAAATCCTGGATGTGAAAAGTGGAGTGTTGCATTAAGTAGTCGACAGAAAATTATGATATAGAATCTTTTTTACCCTTGTGTAGATACTAGGTCGTTATCTGAAAGCGACACGCAGTATGACCTAAATACAATGAAAAGTGTGCAAAGGCTGCAATGCCGGGGCTCGGATATAGTGTCCAATAAGCAAAGGTTCCCACATTACGAACGGATGCTAATAAAAAATGTAGTTTTTTGAAACTAATATTAGGATAAGATATTAGAATATAAGTATTCTCACATGTAAATTAATGAAATTAGTTGATATTATGATTCACAGAAAGATAAATATTTTATGCATTCAAGAAATTAAATAGGTTGGGAAAAAAGCTAAGAAGATAGATAACTTGGGATTTAAACATTGATATTCAGATAAGAGTCGCACTAGAAACAGTGAAGGTGTAATTATAGAAAAAAATTTTTAAAGATAATGTTGCAAAAATTATAGAATTGAAGCTAGAATTATAACCCTTAAGATTGTTGTTGATATTAATTTTTTTAATATTATAAGTGTTTATGCTTCTCAAGTAGGTTTAGACATAGGTTTTAAAGAAAATTTATGGAATAACCTAGAAGAATTAATAATAATGACACTTCTTGAAGAAAAGAATTTTATTAGAGGAGATTTACATGGACATGTCGGTAAAGTAGTAGAAGATTTTAGAAATATTCATGGTGGCTACAGTTTTGGAGTGATTCATGAAGAATGTAGAGTCATATTAGATTTTATTTTAGCACATGATTTTGTTATTGCTAATACTTTATTCAAAAAAAGATATGAGCATATTAGTGCTTACAAGAATGAATCTAATAAAACACAAATTAATTATTTTTTCTTATATGAAGAAGAGATCGTTGAGAATGTAAAGATTATAAGGTCATTCCAAGCGAGAATTTAAGTACTTAACATCAATTATTAGTTCTGCATTTTAGAATGAAAAATTGTAAAATAAAGAATACTAGGAATCATTATCATAAAATTAGATCGAGGCACCTATAAAACACAAATAAAATTATTTTTATGAGTAACTTCAATATTTGGGATATTTATGAAAAAATAAATTCTATGTGGGATAAAGTAACAAACACTATTAAGCAAGTGGTAAAAGATGTATTTGGAGAATCAAAAAAAAATTCTATAAAGAAAAATAGTTGGTGGTTAAATAATAATATGCAAGGAAAGATAAAAATATTAAAAATTGTGTTATGGAAATTGATTTAAATGCAAAAACTTACAGAACTGGGAAAAATATAAAATGATCCGCAAGGAGTTTAAAAGAACAATATATGACATTAAAAATTTTGTTTTTAGTGATTTTTATAACAGATTAGATACTAAAGATATTGAAAAATATATGTATAAACTACCTAAACAAAGAGAAAAAAAAGTAAAGATTTAACTCCGGTCGATCTTAGTGATCTTAATATCATTAATAATAATAATATGTTATATTTTTACCATCGAGTTGGTAAAAAAAAGTTGAGGGACATTAAAGAAAACTATGGGTAGAAATTTTGTATGACCTGATGATATCTCAATTGAAGTGTGGAAATATTTATGAGATTTTGGAGTTCTTGGCTTACCAAATTCTATAATATTATTTTAAAAACTAAAAATATGGCTGAGGACTGGAGGAAGAGTATTTTGGTACTCATTTTTAAGAAAAAATGGGATGCACAAGCATTTGTAAATTATAGAGGAATTGAGTTAATGTGTCATACTTTAAAATTATGGGAGAAGATGATTGGACATAGGTTTAGACAAATTACAAAGATCTCATAATCAGTTTCGATTTATACCGGGCAGGTCTACTATGAAAGCTAAACAATTTATTGAGAGGTTTGATGGAGAAGCACAAAGAGAATAAGGAGGATCTATATATGATTTTTATTGATTTAGAAAAATCTTACAATAGGGCTCTAAGAGTTATCCTTTGGAGAGTTCTAGAGAAAATGTGTTGATATGAATTATATTCAAGTCATTAAAGATACATATACTAGAGTTTTTAATTGTAGAAGGAGCATTGACCAATATTTCCTATTTCAATTGGATTACATCAGAGATCGACTTTAAACCAATATCTTTTCGCTTTAGTTATGGATGCTCTTACTGAACATTTACAGGAGGATGTATCTCGGCCTATGCATTTCGCTGATGATAGCCTTCTTTTGGATAAGGCAAAAGAAAGAGCTCAGGAAAAACTTGAATTATGGAATTCTACATGGGAGTCTAAAGACCTTTATTTGAGAAGAACTAAAACTGAATATATGGAATGTAATTTTAGTAGTAGTAGCACTAGTGATAGAGCTGTAAATATGGGTGATCAAATCATTAAAAGGTATGAACACTTTAGATATCTTGGGTCTATTGTTCAAAGTGATGGTGATATAAATGGGCATGCTATTAGTATAATTCAAGTTGGTTGGTTTAAGTGGAGGAATGCTTCGGGCCTATTGTGTGATAGAAAAGTATCGCTTAGACTGAAAAGAAAATTTTATAAGATGGTGGTGAGACCTGCAATGCTCTATGGCGTAAAATGTTGACCTTTAAAGGAGAAGCATAAAACTAAGTGTTGCTGAGATGAGATTGCCTACTGGATGAGTGGCTTTACACTAAATGTGAAATGAATATATCTGTGATAGAGTTGGTGTAGCTCCAACGGCGGCAAAATTAAAGAGAGTCGTCTTAGATGATTTAGTCACATTAAATGTCGACCATCTGATGATTTGATTGGGAGAGTAGATGTTTTAGATTTGACTTATGTTAAGAAAGGTAGAGGTAGGCCTGGAAGGACTTGGGCGTATTGTATAAAAAATGAACTTAATTTATTAAACTTAATTGAAAATATGACATACAATAGAGAAAAAATGATTCATGTAGCCGACCCCACTTAATGGAATAAAGGATTGTTGTTGCCGTTGTAAAACAATATTAAGTGATACATGATGGAAAGAAAGAATTCATGTAGCCAACTCCACTTAGTGGGAAAAAGGATTGTCGTCGTTGTTGTTGTTGTTGTTGTTGTTGTGGGAAAGACTTACATTCATACCACTCAATTCTTATGTATTTAAGGTATCCATAACTTATTTAATAAATAATAAATGCAAATTATTAAAATTTATATAGAGAATGAAAGATTATAACATAACAACTCATAAATTTTGCAGCTTTTAGATTCACACGTTGCCACACATCATTCAAATCATCATCTATTAACTTTTAGTAGGCCGCTGCACAAATATTAAAGTAGATCAAGGGATGTCATGGAAGGCATCGATATTGGGGTCAGGGACTGCGTCAGCGTCGAAGAAGGCACCGAGGTCGGGATGGTGGGAGCTATTTTAAAAAGACTAAAAATAGGTTTTTCCTGTTTTGTGTTTTTGAAAAACAAAAAACGCTTTTGTTTAAAAAAGAAATAAAAAAAAAACAGCAAAAAAACATATTTTTGTTTTATTTTTTCTGTATTTTGAAAACAAAACCAAAAATAGAAAACAAAAAGTGATCTCAAACAAAAGAGTGGAAATGAAATCATAATTTTCCCAAATATGTTTTCTGTTTACAAGAAACTAAATGAGACCTTAGAATGATTTTCACACATCAATTCAAGCAGAATACAATCCTACTCAAGGGTATAGCAGCCCAGCTGGCAGTGTTTTCTAGACATTAAATCTAAAGTATAGATTTTCAGTAAAATGAAATGCATCTTCTTATTCTGCTTCATGAATTCCCAAGGCACTTATAATGATAGATTTACTCAGCTATGACCATAGCAGTAAAAGGGAGAAGATCGATTGCTTCTAACAATTAAAAAAATAAAATATTCAGTGTTTTGGGTGGTTGTTATGTAAAAACCCCTAAAAAATACGCCAAACCTCCCTAATTCCTCACTTTGAAGTGCCATACTTGATTCGCAGAAAACAAAATCCAACAAGCAGAAATCACTTATTTAAATACTTACTGGAAAACAGAAAAAAATGGAGGCATGATCCCGACACAACTTATAAAGCTTGAACTACGAAAAACTAAAATTAATGGAAGCTAAAATAATTAAAAGATTTGAAGAAAAAGGGAGGAAGCAGGATTGATTACCAGGGCACCAACTAAGCTTTGTAGAGGGATCCTTATCGGCGAGGAAAAGAAGCAGCTTTATCTCCGAGTTGATCGTCTTAAAATTCTCAAAAACCTGCTCGAAATCGGACAAGTTTGCCTCAAAGATATTAATCGAAGCCATTTTTTTTCCCACTATTTTATTTCCTTTTTCCCCTCAATTTTATCTCTACCTCCCCGTCCCTCTTCCCCTCAATCTGCGAGACCAAGGAAGGGTTCGATATCAGCAAAATCTAGGGCGACGGGTCGGTAATTTCCGCTGACCTATTTTGTTTTTAATTTTAGGGTTTTTACATAAATGACACCCAAAATTTTTATATTTACATCTTTCACTCATCAATATTCAAATTTATATATAAAGACATAAATTAAGTTTGATACCTCAACAGCATTATATTTGGTTTCATTCCCGTTAAAGCTCCTTAACAAAAACTTAAGGTCTGTTTGAAATCTCTCTTCCAAAGACGAGCATTTAGTGTTTTATCTGGATTAATATTCTTACGCTAAATCAGTTAAATTTATCTAAAATTTAGATTCAGTAATTCTCACAAACTGACAAATTTATTTCACATTTTTTCGCATTTTGACCGATTTAAGTTAAAATCGCTCTTAAATCGTATTAATAATGTGCTACCAAACACCACCCACAAAAAATAATTTTATCGTATTAGCACAATTAAATGCCCTTAAATTTTCTTCTTAATTTTGTGAACTTACATGCTTTGATTAGAGGAGTAAACAAGTGGAGCTGAACTCGAGTCACCCTCGACTGGAGCTTGAGATTAAAATTGATTAACTTTATCAAGTTTGAGCTCGACTTTAAGCTTAGGAGTTCGATCATGCTCATGAGCCGATTTGTTTATAATAAAAAAAAATAATAATATTATTATTTAAATTAGTGTGATAATAAAATTAAAAATAAAATGAGTAATTATGAGAGAAATAAAAAGAAATCACTTATTATAAAATACATATTTTTTTTAATATTTTTAATGCCTTAAAGATAAAGTCTAATAATTTAATGTATTCATATATATATATATATATATATATATAATTTTAGAAAAATACATATATATATATTATTAATACTTTTTTAATGCTTGGGCATAGACTCAACTGGTTCCGCCTTTTTTGAGTTTGTTTCATCTTTGTCACTTCCCAAGCTGTCTAATCGCATTTATACTGGATATACAATCACAAATATCACGAAAAAAAAACATAAAAATGACGTAAATAATATAAAAAATATATAAAAATATCATGTGCATTTGATACACGACAATAACTCAAATGGTTGATGAATGGTGGTAGTTCAATAATGATAGTCAGATGATGGTGGCCCAAGAATGATAGTTTGATGGTGGCAAATCTATAATAGTGATTTGGTAGTGACAATAACCGGGTAATTGTAATCCAATAATGTTGGTGGGCATATAATATATGTTAAGTAACAGTATTGATGGTGACCAAGTGTTGGTGAATTGATGGATCCCAATAATCACTTTGACATCAAAGCTTCCTTAAATCTCCACTTTAGGTTCCAATCCTTCCCAATAAAGAATATAACCAAGTGCAAACTTGGCATTTGAGGGTAGTTGGGAAAACTTAGGAGAATGCCATATTTGAGGCATGTAGAAAATGTATGATGTCGTTACGTTAGATGTGAGAATTCATAAACTTTACAATGATGGGAGATGATTTATGCCTCTAATGTGAACTCTACATGAACCAAGCGTTATAATTTCTCATTGATGACATGAAAATCAGCATTAGCAAGGCAAGGTTATGCCAAATTCTCGATGAATCTTGAAGCATTGCGAGTTGGTCAAGTCATGCCAGATTGATGAGCAAATTCTCGATAATTTTGACATTCTCATCGGTGAGGGTGGAATTTTGTCATGGCATGAGGGTGTTCCTATATGGGTGTTCTTCAATTGTTGACCTCTAATTGGCATTCAATATAATGTAAAGTGAATCCACTCTTATTATGTTAGTACTACTTGTCCAGCTTCACATAGGAGTTGAAAAATATCATTATGAGACCTCTCCGTTCAACATATTTGGTCTTCCAAGGACAAGCCTGATGCACCATCTATAGTATAATAACATCTATTATGAAGAAATAAGGTGAAGGCTTATTGCCCCTACTTTAGATATTATTCATTGAGAGTGATAAAGTGGGAGTTTCTATTGTTATGAGTATTATACATATTGACCATCAAATGTGTTGTGAAAAACAACAGCAATAAAGTAAAAAAAAAAAGAACGAGTAAAATTGCACACAGAGAAAAAAAACTAGAGCGACACACGGATTTACGTGGTTCAACAAGTTTGTCTACGTCCACGGAGCTGCAGAGGATTTTATTTCTTCGAGGAATTACACCGTCGAGCGCCTCGACGTTTACAAGAAAATCTTTATTTTCTTCTCTCAATTTCTCTCTCTCTCTCTCTCTCTTCCTCTCTTTCTCATAGCTCTCAAGATGACTTGGCTTGGTCTTGCTTGACTTGCATTTCCTTTAAACCAAAAGAGTCTATTTATAGAAACCACGAGAGCGGTAGGTGTGAGGTAGGTGAGCGGTAGGTTGGTGTGGTAGGTGAGTGGTAGGTGGGTGTGGTAGGTGAGCGGTAGGTGAGATACTTAATTAAGAAGCTAAGTAAATTCGGTGGATCGGGTCTCCACATTACTAAAAAATTCTCTCACTTGAAGACTGAGACACTGAATGCATCACCTACTAGCTGCATCATCTACTAATTGTACCTACCTTTTCCTCAAACATGATACCCTCCACCTTTGCAACTCGAAGCCTCTGTCTTCATGCCAGAAGACCAGCTGAAGTTGAGCACAACTTCAGCTTCTCACGAGTAACACCCTCAGTTGACATATCACTGTCAACGTAGTCTCGTACCTCCAAGCTCTTTCTTGGGTTGCTCTTGTATATGCTTACAACTCCCACTGCATGAGCAATATCCTGCCCCTGCTGAAAGCCGTTTTCAACAAGTCCAGCCTTGTACATCTTCTTGCCACCAAACGCAGTATTCACCTGGTACACCCACTTGTTGTGCAATGTCTTCTTCCTTGGTGGAAGTTCGGAAGTTCTGCCAGCTCCCAAGTCTGATTCCCTGACAGAGAATCTGCTTTCTTCTTCTTGGTCAGCTCCCACTTGCTCGAATTCTTACTTGCAAGATTTCTTCATAAGTCTGTGTTTCTCCACCATTTGTTTGTACAAGGTTTGATTTTCTTGCCTTTGGCGCTCTACCACTTTTCAGGAAATGGACATTCTTCTGCTTCCCCATAATGCACCTCTGACTCATGTGTCCACGCTGGAGTAAACCTGCAGTCATATATAGTGTGTCAGTTTTCTTACCCCGAGCCATTACTAATGCTCCTTTGGTAACCTTCCAGGTGTTATCTGAGAACACTACCGAATGACCACTCTTATTAAGCTGCCCAACAGAGATGAGGTTTTTCTTCAACTAAGGAACGTGTCTGACCCTTTGCAAAGTCCATTTGCTCTTGTTAGGGAGTGCAATATCAACGTCTCCCATCCCCATCACGCTTAGAGCTTTTCTATCAACTAGATGTACATTTCCAGAGTTATCTGCAACATAATTTCGCATTGACTAATTAACTCTCGGTGAGAAGATGTATGGAAATAAGCCCCTGAATTTAGTATACAGTCATCAACAGAACTGTGAACTGCAAACAATGCATTATGTATTTTTTCAGTTACAACATTAGCGTCATCATTCTTCTTCTTCTTAGGATTCCTGCAGTTTTTTTTATATGGTCAGTCTTGCCACAATTTCAACAGGTTGTCTGCTGGTTGTCTGCTGACCAGACTTTGAGCTGACCAGACTTTGATTTGATCTTCCTCTGTTTGAGTTCCTGTCATGTGATCTCCCTCTGAAATCAACATTCAACGCCGAAATTGAACACGAGGCCTCGCTAGAATCCTTCATGCGCACCTTCTTAGCCAAAATCAAATCACGAATATCACTGTAGAACTGCTAATTGTCATCCTCATGGCTTCCCAACTATTTGACAATGGAACCAACAATACCAGTGCACGTATCTCATCATTAAAATCAATTTCAACAAACGACAATTGATTTGTGATAACATTAAAATCATTCAGGTGTTGAGCAACAGAGACACCTTCTACCATCTTCAAATTGAATAACTTTTTCATCAAATGCACCTTGTTATTCGCCGATGGCTGTTCATACATACCTGATAAAGCCGCCATGAGATCTGCAGTAGTCCACTCCTTGATGACGTTGTGGGCAACCGATCTCGACAGGGTTAATCGTATAACACCCAGATCCTGTCGATCCAACGGATTCCATTCTGTCTCGTCCATCTTTTCTGGTCACTTTCCCATTAACAGAAGATGAAGTTTCTTCTCATAGAGGTAGTCCTCTATCTGCATCCTCCAGTGAGCAAAATCTGTGCCATTGAACTTCTCGATCCCCGATGTCATCACTTTGTCTTCGCCCATCATTCTTCCTTAGATTCCTAAGGCTTTGATACCAGTTGTAGTGAAAAACGACAACAATAAAGTAAATAATGGAACGAATAAAATTGCACACAGAGAAAAAACACCAGAGCAACACACAGATTTACATGGTTCAACAAGTTTACCTACGTCCACGGAGCTGCAGAGGATTTTATTTCTTCAAGAAATTACACCGTCGAGCACCTCGACGTTTACGACGTTTACACGACGTTTACAAGAAAATCTTTATTTTCTTATCTCCCTTCCTCTCTCTCTCTTTCTCTCTTTCTCTTAGCTCTCAAGATGACTTGACTTAGTCTTGTTTGACTTGCATTTTCTTTAAACCAAAAGAGACTATTTATAGAAACCATGAGAGCGGTAGGTGGGATGTGGTAGGTGAGCGGTAGGTGGGTATGTAGGTGAGATACTTAATTAAGAAGCTAATTAAATTTGGTGGATCGGGTCTCCACATTACCCAAAAAATGATTGTTGGTGCGGTTTGCAAAGGTAGGATGATTTCTCTCAGGTGGCACCAGTCTGTTGTGTTATGAATAATTTTTAATGGCGGAGAAAGAAATCATAGCTCAATATAAAAACACAACTCACAAAGATAAAAATAATAAGAGACCTCAAAGGTTTTACATGAAATAATAGGGAAGGGAATAAATTATAGGTCCTGTCCAAAATAAAATAAATCATTGTGTATTAAAAGTAATAAAATTTCAACATTCTTTCAACTAAAGAATATGGGTCATAGACACTTGCTTGACCTTCTACTGCTACAATAATATTTAAATTACAAGTACCAAATAACAACAAAGTAGAGATAATAGTCGGGCTACAACAACCAAATAACTACAGTTGGGCTACAATAACTAGCGACAGTTGGTTTTAGGCTTTCCTCAAGTGTTTATACTTCACTTTTAGTTTTTTCTTTTTCTCATGTTGAAGATGAAACCTATTTATAGAATTTTGACTGATGCATTTTGATAATTTTAGCACAAAATTATAACATTTCATCAAAATATGTGTTAATTGTTATGAGTATAGACTACTTTTTTAGTATATAAGTGTTATAAGAATCTTCTAATTGAATAATATTATATTTGTTGAATTCTTCTCTTTGAGCAACTCAATTTGGTTATGAGCATGATAAATTGGAGATCATTTAGCTCTTTAATTAATACATCTAAGTTTTGATTATACTTCAAGTGTTTATTTAAACATAATACCTGTTGGACTGCTTTAAATTTGCTAGAATTGTTGGCCGGAGGATCATAAACTTAAACCTAAAAATTATTGTATTCAAATACATTGAGAATCATGCTTGATAAAGCGAGTATTTTAGAGGCATTAATTTTCAAATAGAGTTGTGCAAAGATTAATTTGCTTCAACTCATACGTCATAATCCCGCTTAGGAGCAATGTTTTGCAAGTGAATAATTTATTACTTAATTCTTTATAGAATAAGTTTATGATAATTTAATAATAACATGCTACTCTAAAGTATCATGTTTTGAAAAAAAAAAATCAAAATATTCTGACTAAAATTATGAAATTATTTTATGATACTCGTAAACTATATTCATTTTAAATTAAAATAATATATATATATATATATATATATCAATTTCTTTTTAAGTTGGCTATAAAATTTTCTTATGTTTTATTTTCTTACAACCTATCGAAATGTATAATTTGAATCAGTTAAATTATAAATGATCTTCTACCCACTGAGAAAATAAAATTTAATGGAGGCGGGCCTAAAAAACGTCTGAAATGGCGACACATTAATAAAGTTATACTCTAAAATAGATCCGTTGGAGTTGGATACCTAACGGCTAGTGTGGCAGCGTTCTTGAAAAGAAGGATTCGAGGCCCAGAAATCCCTCAGAATTCAAAAGTTTTTGAAGCAGATCCAGAGTGATCGCCAACCGACCCAGAAATCCCTCAGCATTCAAAAGTTTTCGAAGCAGATCCGAGTGATCCCCAACCAAACACCCAAGAGAAACACTTGCTCTATTCTTGCTCTTTCGAAATTAGGGCAGTCTCTCAGCCATGAACAATCTCATGACCAGATCCTTCCTCAGTTATGCAGACCTCAAGAAGGAGGCCATGAAAGATCTAGAGGCAGGCGCTGGCACCGATGACGCGCTTGAAATAGAAACGAGCATGCCGGACGACAGCCTTCGTCCATTCTTCGAAGAAGCCGGGTTAGTGATGGAAGAAATGGCCTCCATTCGAGACCTTCTCGCCCTTCTGGAGGCTGCCAACGAGGAGAGCAAGTCAGCTCACAAGCAAGATGTGTCGCGTGCCCTGCGAGAGCGTATCAACCAGCACATCTTAGAGGTCCTCAAGACCGCCCGACGCATACGCGAGCGTCTAGAAGACATGGATCGCGCCAATGCAGCAAACCGCCGCCTCTCCGGCTTTCGCGAGGGAACACCGATAGATCGAACCCGGACTTCAGTGACCAACGGGCTACGCAAGAAGCTTAAAGAGCTGATGATGGATTTTCAGGCACTGAGGCAGAGAATGATGACGGATTACAGAGAAGCGGTGGAGCGCCGTTACTTTACTCTGACAGGGAATGTTCCGCCGGAGGATGTGGTGGAGAAGATGATTTCCGAGGGGAAGAGCGAGGAGCTGTTCAAAAGAGCCATCTGTTCAAGTGGACGGGCTATGGTTACAGAGACCTTGAGTGAGATCCAGGATAGGCATGATGCGGCCAAGGAGGTGGAAAAGAGTTTGCTTGAACTCCATCAGGTATTCTTGGACATGGCTGTGATAGTTGAGGCGCAAGGTGAGAAGATGGATGATATAGAGCACCATGTATCAAGCGCTGCTCACTACGTTAGTGGAGGGACGAAGGAGCTCAACTCTGCTAAGATTTATCAAAGGAGAAGCCGCAAATGGTTCTGCATCGCCGTTATTCTTCTTCTTGTACTTGTGCTGCTCGTTGTTATCCCAATTGTCACCAGCCTTAGCAAGTCATGAGGACCTTACTCTTGCTTGATTAATTGCATAACACTCTGCTCTATTTCTGAGCACTCTGATAGAAGCTCTTTCTGCATTTTTTCTGCATAATAGAATTAGTATGGCCGTTGTGCCTTCTCCCTAGAACAATGTATCTGTTGCTGATTTTTTTTTAGATATTTGATTGTGTTAGCTATTGTGCTTCTCCCTAAACTGTGTTCATTTTATCTAATTTGTGTTAAATCAAGTGCATCAAATCTTAGTTTGCATTATTTCTATTTTTTTTATGATGGACAGTAAACGTTAAAGTGTGTAATTGAAATTCGTACTAGAAATATAACCTTCTAATTAGACCACAGATTCTTTCGCATGGCCTAATGAGAAATGCTTCTACAAGGCTCATTGCGTGCTTGGCTATATTGTTGTCATATATTTATAAAACAATATATCCATTTTTGTTTATTTATAATTTTCTTGTGCAACTGTTTTTGTGTCCATTCTATTGTGCATTTCTTCCATGGTAGTGTAAGTGGATTTACATACATTACACTTGTATCTTTCTGAATTTGTAAATCTATTTTTTCTGATTTGTAAATCTATTTTCTACTTGCCACTATTCTTTTTAAAGAACATACAAGAGCAATATTTCTTTAGAATTGACCCAAACAATAACCTAAGCAAGTCCTCTTAAGCATTATTGTTTACTTATAATTTTCTTGTATAACTGTTTTTGTGTCCATTCTATTGTGCTTTCTTCTATGTTAGTGTAAGTGGATTTACATACAATACACTTATTTCTTTATTATTTGTAAATCTATTTTCTACTTGCCACTATTCTTTTTAAAGAACATACAAAAGCAATATTTCCTTAAAATTTACCCAAACAATGACCTAAGCAAGTCCTGTTAAACATGTTGTTTCGTATGTATGTATGTCTCACAACAACCTCTATTTCCCTATTTTAAGTCAACTCAAACTATAAATAAAGGCAAGGATTAATCAACAAATTAGGAAAAAACACAAAAAAATCACTAATTTCATTTGTTAGGAAAATACAAAACAAATCTCACGAACACCATTAAATTTATACTGGCAGCTGCTTTAAAAGTGGTTAAAAGGAGTAATGAGCTAGATAATTCGTATATTCTGGTTATAATCTCAATATTATTTTAGCATCATCGTCTCTATTGGCTGGAGTTGCTTTTTTTTAATTCTTCATACTTTATTCTCTTCATTGTTTTTATTTCAGCCTGATTACTTTTATGTGTTCTATCGTGATAGTCCTTTTTCTTAAAACCAGTTTGCACTTTAGTATCTGTATTCTTCTTCTTTTATCCCTAAGTTATATTCAGGTGTATTATATTATTAAGATTATTTTTTCTTTATTCTTCTTCAATGGAATTCTTGCAATGCTGGATCTATTTGGATTTTTATTGCCATTTGCCACTCTACTTTATGAGTCATGATTCTAGCTTCATTTGGAGTTGCTTCACGGACAACTTTTCACTCTACCGTGATTTGTTGCTGTGTTATTGCCTCATGTTTCCCGAACCCTTGGTGTCAGCTATCCACACCATTCAAAATTGGGCCAATGGGCAGATAATTAGCATAGCTGTTAACTTTTTCAGAGATTTTTAGCGCCTGACCATACACCTGCTTCCAGTGAGTCCAGGCTATCAATTCTATTTTTTCTCTGGCTAATAGTTGAAAGAAAGGGGGAATCACTAGAGGAGTATCAAGATAGTTAATGTCCCTATCTTAGAGGATTTGAGTTTGGACCAGTGCCAGTGATATGTTTGGATCAAATCCTCATTTTATAAAAAAAGGCCACACAATTATAAGCCAATATGTTTTTTGATAGCTAAGAACCAGAATAAGTTTGTCAATCACTAGAGGAGTATCAAGATAGTTAATGTCCATTTAAAAATTAATTTCAATGACAATTATATTGCTTGTATTAATATCATCAGGTTTTTGAATCAATACTTTACTCACTGAATTTGATGATTTTAATTGAGCTAAAGTGAGCCAGTATTAGAAAGTGAACTCCAAAATATGATATATTGAATAGAATTAAACTTTCTTTGCCACTTGGCTCTACATATTAAAGTGATTAATCGATGTAGTCATTCCTGTGTTAGCAAATCAAAAGGGATCAATATTAAGTTAAATGTAATAACATTCATATTTAAATGTTACCATTACACTTCAAATGTTTTTTTCTTTATTAGCTTAATTAGATTATGATTCATATCATTTTTTTTTAATTAATTTGACTGCATTATGCTGTTAGTTTATGTTCATAATATTAATAATATTTTTTTTAAGAAAAGGCCTTAAAACAGCAGCTGGCCAAACACTTCTAAATATTTGAGTGGAGACAGACATAAATGCAAATTCTAGATAAACATACATTTATAATCTCAAGAGTGCAAAATTGGCCCTCATTAAGCAAATAGTTGGCCTCTGATCCCTTATTATGAAAATTCTCCTAAAGCTTTGAGAAGCAGCTTTGGACAACTTGAGAACGCTTCTAAATAATTTGCTTTTGCTCCAACTAATCAAGCCATAGGATTAAATTAACCGTTTGAATTTCATTTACTCTTTACATTTTTACTGTTTTAAAGCCCAAGGGTTGTTACAAAGACAGTTGAATTCATTTTCCCAAACAACAAACAGCCATGAATGGAAATACCACCAAAATATTTATGCAAACCAATAAAGTGCTATCATTAACAGCGAGATAATGCGACTTCTATAACAGCCATAAACAACGAAAATATTTATCCTTACTCTTAATAAAGTTCATAAAAAGTACTAGTAGTTTAAATAGAAGAAAGATCAATTCCCAGCAAGAAGAGCATCTATTTTGTCTCCAATATGCGTCTCATCATCCTCTAAATGTCCAGTGATGGCATCATTCTCCCATCGAATGACAGTCGGCACACCCCTGAGCTTGAATCTTGGATCGACTCGCCATGGATGATTAGGATTCTTCCACGTGGCTCTATCCCCTACAAATGTTTTAAGGATCGCAATATCGCTAGCTGAAGTTACGAGCTTGTCGTCAATCACAGGTTCTGCAACATTGCAGTCTGCAAAAAAAAAATAATATAATATAACAATGTATGATGCTTGTTTGAAGCTACCAAAACCCATTCAAATGTTGATGAAATTCTGCTACCAAAATCTGCCGTAAAACTCATTCAAATTTTGCTGAAATTCTGCTACCTAAATAGCCACAAAGCCCATTTCAATGTTGCCAAAACTCTGCTACCAAATAACCCTAAACTTCTTTTTAAACACTGCTGAAAAACTCCAAATTTTGTTTAAAAACGGGTTTAGTTTTGTCCTGACAATTAGCTACTCGAAGAAGAACCAAGCACGCTGAGCCGCTGATTCGAACAACCCCTCGCAAAGGTACATTTGTATAATATTATTGCATTTCCAGAATTTATCATAAAAAAGCACATGTATGTGTTTGTGCATGTTTAAATCACGTGATTTTTGAACAAATGTGCAAGATGTGTTTAAACTTCTCTTGAGATTATGCATGAGTAATGAGCATGTAATACTTGCCTATCTTATATACGTATACTTGTTTTCTATGATGGTTTCATGTATATGAAAGAAATATGTACTCATTTAAAATCTCTAAATGTGACGTTTTGTATTGTATATCAAATTCTTAGCTCTCACATTACTTGTTTGCTTGCATACATAAATCTTTCATGCATTAATTTATTACATTCATGCATATATTCCTTGACACTAGATTGAATTAAATTCTCATACAAACTTGTTGATATGCCTTGTGAGGTGTGATTTGGTAGTGGTCTAAAAACTGAGCGCTCGTGTGAACCTTCTGCTCCTCCTGTTTCTTGCACGTAGGAGTCATCTCAACTTGAGAGCTCTTTAGACAATTCTATTCTCCCTTCTGCTTTGTCTAAGTATTATTTCTATTTATTCTTCTTTTTTCTTTGTCTAAGTATTCGTAGTTTATCTAGTTAGCGAGCTGGCTGGATAAAGTAAATTAAAGCCAATTTATTAAACAAATTAACTTTAGAAAAATTCAAAATAAGTAACATTTAAAGAAACATAAATCAAAGTTAATTTAAATTAAATCAAAATAAATCAAAACTTAATCCAAATAAAATTGACAAAACAACTCATAACTAAATCAAACTTTAAATAAAATTAATTCATCATAAGAACTTCAAACTAGATTCACAGTTAAAACATCAAGTGAAATGAAACAAGCAAGCTCAAATAAACTTAACTTGGATTCAAATCAACTTAAATTAAATTGAATTAAGGCAAAACAAATTTAACTTAAGTCAAACCAAATTAAGTTAACTTCAAAAGATATCAAACTAAATCAATTTGAACATAAACATAAACTTAAGTCAAGCACTTTAATTAATCAAAATTAAGATAAGTTAATTAATTAATTTTTTATTTTAAATTAAACCAAATTAAGTTAATTAATTAAACATTATTTAACTTAATTGAATCTTGATTGACCTTAATTTAAACCAAAACACAAATTAAACTAAATCAAATAAATTTCAAAACTCTATAATACAATACAACCAACTAAATTAAGCTAAAATATGCCTGAACATACTTTAGTTTTTGTTAAAGTAACGTACCATAACTTCTCATGTGTGGCATCTTACCATATCAGGGTCAGAAAGTAATGAATGGTGTGGCTCCCTCTCTCAGGCGAGTAATGAAGAACTATAACACTGTTGCTTCATAATTCAACCCAGCAGCCTTAATTTCTTATATTTTTTTCTGTTTGGAGAAGTATTGGAGATTGAGATTTTGAGTAATAATCATGTAATAGTTGCAGATATGTTCTTATTGTTGGAAAAAAACATTTATTTGTATGCATCGACAATCTCAGAAAGCTTACGAAAACATGTATTTCTCCTCCTATTTTAACTGCCATGAAATTTATGCTTAGGAAAATGAAACCAAGAAATGGGCTTCTTGCTCGCAATAATAGATCATCTCAGCCAGCGAACAAGGCTATGTCCAAAATGAAAACAAGCTTGATGACATGCAATCCGAGAAATGGACCGGATGAGAACTTGCTATTTATGCCATAGTTTTATGACAAAGTACATTACTAATTCTTTATCAACATACATCAGCATAGACTTATTTAGAGTTTGGGCTGTTATATTTTTTGGCTTACTCTCATGATGCTTACCTATGATTTGAAATGTATTTCAATCTTGCTGATCCATGA